TGAATGAATGAATGAATGAATGAATGAACAAATTTATTCCTGTTTTTTGAACAATGTTTTAAAAATAATGATTGTAAACCACCTTATTTACAAGAGAAAGTTCTGAATTTGTGGGAAAAAATGAATTCAATTTTCTCTTAAGAATCTCTCAGCATAGATATTTTCTTCCATGATTTTCACAATGACCTTGAGAGGTAGGCTAAGAGGAGCTTGTCCACTCATGATTTCAAATCTACCCATTTTGTGTGCTTAGGAACAGCTATATTACATGCTGAGCCACAGAACAAATAAACCCCCAATTGCCCATTTCATGTTACCAAAATATTCTACACTGAACCGCAGAACATAATTGGAGGCCTCCATATGATCCCCTGCATCTTCTGATATTTCTTCTCCTACCTGAGCTGGAGGTTCAGCCACTCTTTCGGTTCCACCAGAAAAAGATGACCCTACAAATACCAATGAGATGGTTCTGTTCCCTATGAAGGAGACGAGAGCAATAACAGAATTTTTAAAAGCCCAACTAACAAAATATAGAAAGATATTATACCCAAGAGGAGACAGAACGTTCACATTGCTTGGAAGGACCTTTTCTTACCTCCTGAGGTGTCCTGACATGGATCTTCCTTGGAGAAGTGCCTGAAAAGCAGCTCCCGAGAGGGATTTGATGCATCTCTCCTTCTCTTGGGATCTTCAGCGACAACAGCCAAGGAGGACTCTTGCCGCTGAAATAGCAGAAGGGAGAAAAGGAAAAGAGGATTAATGGAGCAGCAGACAAGTAGTAATGGATGTTTCTCAATCCACAATGTTGCAGCCCCCTATAACCATCATGGAGGTGGAAACTAAGAAGGGAAGAGTTGCCCCAAATGCATCCTCTGCAGAAAGGAACTGAATGATTTGTCTAAAGAGTTTATTATATTTTTAAATCATCCATCAGCTGAAGCTCTTTGGGCAGTTTACAGTAAAAGGGAAAGAAATATCTTGTGTTCTTAATGCTAAAAATACCAGAAAACTCTACTACAGAAACACTGAAGACTGGTTACATATTGTTTCTTCTACTCAGACCCATTTTGAGTTCCCAGAATGAAGGTGTCTACCTGCAGATCTTCCTGCTGCTTCTCCTCTGCCTGGCTCAGGAGGAAGCCTTCCGCCAGGGCCACTGCCTGGGAACTGGTCTCCGCTCCGCATTCTCGTATCCAGCTCTCCATTTCTGGAGGCAGGAGAGCCAGGAAATCCTCCAGGACCACCAGGTCCAGCATCCGCGCCTTTGTGTTCCTCTCTGGCTGCAGCCATTGAAGGCAAAGCTGGTGGAGATGGCTACAAATCTCTCGGGGGCCCTTGGCCTCCTGGTAGTGGACATTCCTGAAGCTCCAGCACTGGATCTCTGAACGGATGGTTTCCTCCTCCAGTGTCTGCTGTCCAGTTCTTGCCCAGATCTCCCCACAGCTCCCAGGTTGAGCAGCAGGAGGGCCTTTTCCAGTTCCCTCACCTGTTAAATGTTGCATCTCCATCTTCCTCTGTTCCCCAACACAGCTCTAAATGGGGCCACAGATCTCTTCTCAAAGCCAGTCGGCCCTCTTTGCTCAGGAGATATTTTTGCATCTAGGCAAGGAGACAAGATGCCTCTAGTTTATACATCTGCAGTGAAAAGGAAGAGAACCCTCCGGATTCACGGCGAACGTAATGGTTGACATTTTAATCTTGTAAAATCTCCCTGTAAAATGTCAGAATAAGGATTCTTCTGAACTGGCACAGGGACTGCATTAGGAAGATGTGTGTGTTGGGTGAAAAATATGACACATCTCCTCAATACAGGTAGTCTTTGTTTAGTGACCACAATTGGGCCTGGCAACTTGCTTGTTAAGCAAAGTGGTCGCTAAGTGAAACTGTGACTGTGCTGATGATCTTACTTCAGCTTTTCTTTGCTTTACAGACCTGCGAAGGATGTAAATCTGAGGATTGGTTGCAAAGTTACTTTTTCATCACTGTCATAACTGCAGATTGTCACTGTATGAGGCAGTCACTAAATGAGGACTACCTGTATTGGATCCATGGATATGGGATCAAGACACTGCTTTCTTTTTCTCATCACAGGTGCAACTTCAGCATTTCCTCTGCAAGGGAAGAGATCCAGCTTCACCCTCGCAATCACAAGTGTTAAAGCCCCACAGGCCACTGCGATCCTCAAACAAACAAACCAGATTCTGCCCTAAGATGCTGCCCTGCTGCTGCCCTGCATTTTGGCTCAACCTGGCACTTTGCCTGAATGCAGCCAGTTGCACCTCCTTTGCTGCAAAACTTTCAATATTCCCTGCTGGAGTTTTGCAATGCAAGCATCTCCTCTCTCCCCAGGCCTTTCCCAGACAACAGGGGGTGAAGGGCTGCCCCAGATCGCCTCGCTCTTCCTGGAGATGCTGGAGCCTTGCGTCCCCCCTGCCTGGACCGTGCCTGCAAAGGGGCGGCAGGGGAACATGGGTCCCCGCCCTCCCCCCTTCCCAGGACGCAGAACCTGGTGAAGACGTTGCAAGTCTCCATGCATGTCTCCAGCACGAGACCCCTTGGCTCTCCTTCCCCCGAGAAAAGCTTCCCACTCACTGAACAGCGTCTCGTCTGGATTTCCGTCCCTGCAAGACTCCTGCAGAGCTCAAGCGGTTAAAGTGAGCGAGCGCAGAGGCCTAGAGAGGCCAACTTTTGCGGATGTCGCTCCTCCTGGGCTGAGCAGGGCACTCTCCGTCCCCTGCCGCCTCTTCTACGGCTCGCAGAGGGAGCCTCCTAGTGGTTTCTCTGCAGAATGCTAGGGAGCCGGTAAGGGAGGGAGGAAAGCGGTCTTGTGGGGGAAATGCCTCCCCTCCACCAGCAAAGATGGAAGGACGGGCAGCCGGCGGGCTTCAGGAGGGAACGGAGCATGCGCGCGAACCGCGGGTGGGCGGGCGGCA